TATGAGTATGTTTCATTTCATGTTAAATCGTATAAATGTGTTTTTTTTTTTTATGGAAAAATTTGAAATTTTCAATCATGTCGATTAGTAATGATATATCGATAATAATATCGTTGAAATATTGTTAAAGCGAATAAATTTAGAAGAGAAATGTACATATATCGCATTAATTAATTGTAATAAAATTATTCAAAATTTTTATTAATATTATTTGTATATCTTTCCAATCTTGTTTTTCTTGAAAGAGTCTGAAACAATTTATCCAATTTGTGAAAATAATTTTTCATTTATATCTTTAATGTAAGGATATTTGATTGGAAAAAATGTAAAAAAAAAAAAAAATGAAATAAGTAACTATTATATTGATCAAAATAATTCTAATATATAATAGATTAATACGAAGTAATAATATTTCAATGGATGCACGTATTTGATTGTAAATAGATTGAAATATATCATGTATCTATCAATTTGAATAATTTTATTATAATTAATATATATTATTACCTTTGTTTTTACGTCTTTCAACGATATAATATTATAAAATATTATCGATATATCGAATATCGATATTCTATTCTATTATTATTATATATATTCATCGTTATCGACTTTACCGACAGTCACACCTCTAAATTCAAGAGAAATATATCGAATATTCGGAATATATTGAATATCGATATTATTCTCACATTATTAATATTTATCGATAATTTTATCGATAATGATATTTCTAAATTCGTGAATTTCTAATGAAATAATATCGCAACTCCGTAATCGATTATCGACTCAAATCGATTTGTCGAAACGACGGAACGTGACGCCGCCATTAACGTGACTCGTCTCGTCTCGTGATATTCTTTGCGAAACTTTGTGACGTGAAACGTAGTGAAAAAACGCAGAAATATTCCCTTTTTCTATCGAATTTAAAGCTCAAATTCGTTTTTAACGATTTGTTTGAAAAGTGCAGACGTTCGACATTTTCGGTATAACTTTTATTCAGAAAACAATAAAGTTTGAAGTTGTGGTGTACTTGAGTAAATTCCAATAATTAGGCGACTAGTTCTTAAACTTTGCCAATTTATCACGATGGGAATTCTTCCTGGTGAATGGTGAAACTTTGGACTGATATTTTTACCTATATTCAAGCATCGCAATATCCAGTGCCCTTTCAATCGATGCATTCAATCGATTGCCGTGAAAAGTTAGAAAAATGAATAACCATTTAAAAGAAATCATCGAAAAAGGTTAGTTTTTATTAGCCAAAAAGTAACGTCGAAATTTTTTGTAAGAAACTGAATAATCTATTTCTCACCATTAAATACCAATATTTCGATAATTTTTCGTGTGGTATAATGCAGATCGTTTAGAATAGAAATTGTTAGGTTAGAAATATGATCGTCGATGATCTCGATAGATATGCTATGACATATATCGTGGATAAAATTAAAATTGCCATTCTTTTTTTAAAACATTTTTGTACGATTCTGTCATTTACACTATCATTGAACGTATCACAAATTTTGTTTGCTATTTGCGTAACGTAGTTTTTCAATTGCCATAGGATACAACCAGATGGCAGTGATAAGCATAGAAACCTTTATTTTCTTTGTCCCTGTCAGTTTGTTTTATTCTTTGTAGTTCACGGTAAAAAGTACGAAAGATATAAAGAGTGTTAACAACGAGTACGCGTATCCCAGCAATTATTTTAATTACAATAAACGTTCATTACATACAAGTAAAAGAATAATAATTATAATTTATATCTCTCGTCCTCTTTATTCTACACTTTTAGCATAATTTTTAAAGCATAATTACACATCTTCTCTTTGTTCATTTTCAAATTAAAATAAATGCTAAAAAAAAATCGAATCAAATAATAACCAACAATTTTTTTTAATATTAAAATATTAGCTTCTAGATAACATACAGGTATATATACATATGTTTAGACATATGCTTTATAGGTTAGAAAGTTCTTTTTAACGGAAAAGATTTCTTACAAAAAAAAATTCGACATTACTTAACCTATATTTTTTGGTTATTTTATATTCAATAAGGAAAATTGAACAAGTTTTGTTGACCTCGGGAATTGAATAAAATTTTATACGAGTTTCGTGACTACGATATTTCAACGACCGCCAAACCATTTTATAACCAACAAATTATCCTTGTGTTTGAGTTAAACAAACTTTTTGAATGCGCCAAGGCTCTTGCAAACATTTGCGACTGAAAATCGGTTGCTTGCAGTGAGCAAATTTATGCAACCATGCGAATTTCTAGACCAGTGGTTCTTAACCTTTGCGAAATCGCGAGATTGTTTTTGATTGTAAAAAAAAAAAAAAAAAATTGCATGGTATTAACTAAAATCATAAGATTGAATGAAAATAAATAAATTATAAAAAATAAATGATTTTTTTATATTTTTCAATTTTTCTTTTCTAATTTTTCAAGAAATTATTGTCTATTCCGGATTCTCGTTTTATTAAAAATTATAGTTTTATAGTAATATTAAAATAAGAAAAAAATTATGCTTTCATAATTTTAGAGGAACTAATGTTTCGAGGAATACATGGGTTATGAACCACTGATCTAACGTTTTGGGCATAGTGTCATGCGAATGTAACGGGTCAATAATCCGAACGTCATTAACCACTATAATTGGTGTCTATGATGCCTTGTTACGTGTGAATGGAAATCCTGAATGATTACGTGCAATTAAGGAATAAATAGAATTATTGAACGTTCAATTCAATCATTTTATAAATAAATCGAATATCATCTTTCGAACAAGACCTCCTCCTGATTTTTTTGTACAAAATCTACCTGAAAAAACAGAAATGAACTCTTTCCCATATCCTTTGATCATATCCTTTATCCAAAATCCTTTATCCAATAAAAATCGAATTTTCATTAGTTCCAATAACACGATTAATATTAGTTGAACACACAGGATTAATAAACAAAACCTGACCTCGAAAATGAGATCCCTTTTTAAAAGAAACGAAACTCATTCCGACGAAACGAAACGATAATTAAAAATGCAAATCGACCAATTTTTCTCTCCTCTTTTCTCACGTCTCTCTAACGCCGCTAACGCAGAAACAGCGGACGAATGCCTTTTCGCCCGTGCTCGTAGTTAAAAAAACGTTGCGCGATGATTAACCGCAACGTTGCCGATTCGCGCGTCCACCTACAATGGAATTCGTTTTCTCGATTAACGATATTAAATCCTTGCTCGAGGCGTTGGATATTCTAATTAAGGGGCGGTCGGGCGAGGTCGGGCGGACCATCGTTGAAATTAGCACCGGGGACAAAGCGGAGATAAAATAGTTGCACGTGCGTCAACAACTCTGGCTCCCCTCCCCCCTATCTACGTGCATCACGCGCGCTGGAGAGAGACTGGAGAGCGTAAATAAATCGCGCCTCCGGCGGATTTGCAGCGGATTCCAGGCCGGCTCTCGCCGTTTGTCAAGACTCCTGTTGTGATTCACCAACTTTCATTCCACGCGTTGTGGAACGCAGCAGAGAAGACTCGATTCCCTTAATGGTGGCTGACGCCTCGAGCACGGTGCCCCTATGTATTTTGCTCGTAATTTTCCCGCGGGAGGAACAGATATCGAGAGAGAGAGAGAGAGAGAGAAAGAACGAGAAAGAATTCGATACAAAGTTCGAGAGAGAAGAAGTTGGAAAGTTTAAGAGAGAGAGAGAGAGAGAAACACCTGAGGAACACAATGGAAAGACATTTCGCTGTCGATGCGTTGGCGCAAGCGAGTGGAACGATGCCTCGTTACCATAGACAAGTTGCCCGGTTTCAAACACACGCTTTGGAAAGTTTACCGGGTCTCGAAACGTTCTTCTGGAACAGTTTCTCGCTGCAAAAGAGCGTTTCACGGGGAATCATAGCTTGATTTCGTGCAACAGGGTCGAGAATGCCTTAGCTCGAGCCAAAACACGTTTAACTCTCGTACGTCGAGGAGGAGGGGGAGGAGGGGGAAAAGAAGCAAGACGTCTAGCCGTTACGCGACAAAAACTTCTCGGTCGGCGCGCGTTTCACAGCGCATAAACCCCGGTATATTTGGACCGTGCGGGGAGAGAACGCGATATTCCATTCGGCTCCTTTTTGTTCACTTGTTCATTTTGTTCATTCTCGAAACGACTTAATGGATTCGCACGGATGGATGGAAAAGAAACACCGGGAGTACCGGGTTCAATCGTGCGATCACCCGTGTTTTCTCTTTTTTTTTTTTCTTTCTTTCTTCTTTTTTCTTTTTTTTTTTTTCTTTTTATCAAGGGGGAGGAGTCTGGAAATTTTCCAATTTGTTCGAGTGGACGGTGTTAATCCTTTGCGGTCGTATGTCTGTCCTGCGATACCGCGCCCGGTAGCGATGGGATCGAGTAGCTCGAGTGCTCGAGTAAATTTGAACTTTGCTCGCGATTTCATTCGAGAAATATTTGATATTCGAAATGTTTTTTCCCCTTTCTCTTGTTATCTTGTATTCCACTCTCTATTTGAAATAGTTATTTTGTTTGCCGTCGATTTTAGAAATTTGATTTCAAAAAAAAAAAAAGGAAATAAGCCGCGCTTCGACACGTTGAAATCAGAGTTGAGAAAATTTCAGAAACGAACGATATCCAACGAAATTACTGTGTGTACTGTGTGTGAATAAATAATCAGGTGCAATTTTAAACGATAAATTGGAAGATTGGAACGTTTCTTCTTTCGTTGAAAATTAATTCTGAAAGGGAGAGGTTAAAAGAACAACCATTCGATCAAAAGATTAACGAGTCGAGTGCATCCACCGCACTCGTGGTCGAATTGAATTTATCTTGCTCGCACTCGGCAAGATTCCGGGGAAACGAACGGGGATCGAAAATCGATTAACGCCGATTGAAAGTTATCGGTCATGATCGCGCAGACAGAAACAAACGGATTGGACGTCGGAGCCCCGCTAATTCGAAAGATACTTGGTTTGATAAACGAGAAAATTGCGGAACAATTTTGCAGGGGGATGAAAACTCGAAAAAGGAGAATTTCCCGTGAAACGAGCTCGTCGGTTCAAAGAACCCGGGCTTCGGAAGACACAAGATGTCGTGATCATCGCCGTCATCGATGGTGAAAAGGGCGGCTGAGGCGAGATGAGAATCTCTCTCTCTCTCTCTCTCTCT